AAAATTATTATAGATAAAGGCAGTGCACACACATACACACATCTAAACAACACATTTGTTTTTAAATTATTGTTAAATAATTTTAAAAAGTCTCAGATATGTTAATCTGCGCTGCATCTTAGAATTTCAGACTGAACACTGAATCACTCCTAGATACTACTGCCTGTGAATCTAATGACGACTGTCAATTTTCCATAACAAAGAATGGAGAAGAAAGCAGCATAACTAGAAAGAAAGGTTCAATAGGATTTATTCATTCTCAATTTAATCTATATTGAGTATATGAGAACTTATTTCATCCAAAAAAAGGAGAGCACTAGGGCTAAGGGTACTGGATCTACTTTCTCTTATACCATTAGTATGTGATTTGTAACAAGGGGCTTGTTTGCTTGGTTTACTTTGCAAAAATCAGCTGTTGATAAAATTGGCTGTAAGACATAAAGTTGTGAAATTTGCATCCTGTACACACAGGAATAAATCTGAACTAATAAAAGACTCAGAGGAGAGGATAGCTTTGAGGAAATGCAGAGAAATTATTTGGTTATGTAAGAACTGAAAACAATGGCACCAGTCTTTCAAAGCTTGAAAATAAAATTTGGTCAACTAAAAAGTCAAGTTTCAACATGATTAACTCTTCTGATATTTAGGCATCACAGGAAAGGCTGTAGCTTAATGGCAGAACGAAGGCATTGCATGCAGGGTCCAGGTTCAGTGCCTAGCATCTTCAGTTACTCGTAAAGCTGGGGAAAACTTCTGAGACCAGAAAATCACTGCCAGCCTATATAGACAGGGATGGGCAGAAGGGATATTTCAATTTTGAACTTCACTCTTAGAAGTCTCTGCCAGGATAGCCAGTAGTAAGGAATGCTGGGGACTTAAGTTCATTGTCATTTGAGAGCTTATCTTGTTTACTTTGTCAAATATTCATTATATTAGTATGCTTATGTGGTTAGTAAAACATATGTGAAACGTAACCCTACTCCTTGAAATGCTACCTCCTATCATAGAATTAGTCTGAAGGAAATTGCTCTTTATCAAATCCTTCAATAAAAGCTGTTACGGAAAAACAGAGTTGTTTGATTTTAAAAGGGAACTCAAGACATTGTTCACCAATGACTGGTTCTTCCCTTAGAATCTATTTCAAGCTTACTCTTCCCTCTTTTGTATCATTTCTTGAAAAAAAAATGGAACAAATTTTCAGGTCATACCAGTTTATTAACTTGCTTCTGCATTCTTCTTATATAGGTAGAGGTTAAATAATGGACTGGATGTGGGCTAATAAACTGAGATGTAATCTGAATAAGCAGAGTTGATTCTAATCAGTAGGACTACCAACCATGGGATGGTGCAATGGGTTTTTTGATGACTTTTCTTTTTTTCTTTAAAAAGGAGATATGTAGCCTAGAAGTGCTCTCAGATCTGAATTTGCTGTTTTGGTGGTCAGGTGATAGGAATGTCTTTGTCTCATTTAGTATGCCTAGTGCACCTCTTCTTCAAAGAGGGGAACCTGGGATGGTGATTCATGCTTTGGTTGCATTGAAAGGCTGGCAATTCTAAAGTTATAACTGGATTAGTGCAATGCACTCTTCATGGGGCCACCTTTGAAAAGTGTTTGCAAACTTCCGATAGTGCAGAATGCAGAAGCTGTTTTCACTGGAATTAGTCTTGCAGAAAAAAAAAAAAATAAGTCCATTGCCCTTCCATCTGCACAGAGTATTGGTTCATTTTTGAGCTTAGTCAAAGCACAATGGAAAGCAGTCTGTCATGGTATCTTTCCCTAAACTTCAGCGTTCCTCCTTGTGCTGCTGTCCTGCCCTTAGCCCTGCCAGTCCTTCCTTGACTAAAGTAAATGCCAAAACCAGCCTTGAACCTGGACATGGTACCTGTCTGTATTATTCTTAAATGTCAGATCTATCTGTAATCAAAGAGAGATCACCTAGCTCATTTAACAAGCTTTCTCACCGAATAAGTGAGATTAATTCCCTTATATCCTTGTCTTGTATCCACAACTTAATCATGAATCAGGGAACTGCTCGTATCATCTTGCACTGAAACTGTGTGGGATGACCTGGCATGAATTTGATCTTTCAGTTGTGTTCAGCTGGTTATGCCTTTCAGTACTAACACATGCCTAAAGAATTTTGTTTTTACTTACTTACAGTCGGATCACTTCCATTGAGTTCAGACTCACACCAGTGCTCTGAACAAATTGGATGTCAATTAGTATGCCTCATACTAGAAGGCTTATGTAATACTTACGATTCTGAACCATATCAATTGTCATGGCTGGTTATCCTGTCAATGCTTAGGACACTGAGTAGAATTAGCTAGGAGGTATTGATTTGGCCACTCCTACGTGCTCTCTTCCACGAAGTAGAGCCTGGTCAACTTCTTGGTATTTTGGTGAACTTAGGGCAATGTAGCAAGTAGAAAATTGGCTAGAATGCAAGGCAAAATGAAGAGAAACTCAACAATTCTGGCTACCATATATGACTGTTGGGCTTCATGTGACTTGAGGTGTCGCAGATTGTTCATCTCTGTATTAACTTAGCTATAAGTGCAGAATTGATAAGTCTCCATATTGTTTGGTGCACTGTTTCTTCAGAACTGTAATTTAATTATAAGTATTAGTTTCCTTAGATATTATCACCCATATTTCAAATACAGAGAATGCTTATTCCATTTTCCCACATCCTGAGTTATGGATATGTATGTGCATGTTTCTGTGTAGTCCAGATAGCTTTCAGACTTTTGTATGATCTTACAGTTTCTTGTTTCTGCATCTGTATCATCAAGAAAAAAAATAACCCTCTATTTCTAGTCATTGGGTTCCATTATACCAATGCATAAAATAATAATTAAAAAGAGTTGGAAATTGTGTGCCAATGAAATTTTAAATGCCTTTTTAAAGACATGTAGCAGATAATTGAAACTGAAAGGAAAACCTTACCCAAAGTGTTCTTTTTAACATGTTCTTTTTAACATTAAATATCTAATATATTTTCAGTAATGAGGACTGCAAACTTAAAGGTGGTCAGCCAAACTTATGTAGAGTTAAGCAAGTGCAGCTAAGCCATTTGAAATTAGTGGGTTTATGTGTACCAAGCTCTGCATGGCATCAGGCTTTTACTAGAAAGTAAATGTCATTGAATTTGTTGAATCTACTTCTGAATAAATATGATTAAGGTTAGTGGAAATCATATTTTGCTCTGATCCCTCAAATGCCTCAGTGTTGTGAAATTTTGTTTCTGCTTCCATTCCTTGGGGTCTGATTTGGATAAAATTACATTAATAAATACAAGCAACAAAACTGAGTAATTGTATTTATTTGAAGTCTTCAATGAATTCAGCCCATTCAGTAATGTTTCATTGAGGTTTGTCAAAAGTTTCAGTAGCAACAACAGCAGGGTTACAGGATTTAAATAAGATCTATTAAAATCACCAAGAGACTTCCCTGTGATAGCAAATCACAGTAGAACTGACTCATACTTTGTTGTGTTTTCTGATTCATATATATGACCAGGGCACAATGTTTACATTGCAAATGATGGAGGGATTATGTGTGCACTAATTGCAGTAAAATGCAATATATATTTGTGTTAATCCCATGATAACTAATCTGTAATTAATATATTTTATAATAACCTCTGAGCTAGAAAAACAGGAGTATAGAATATGTGAATCCTTCTAATGTCAAACCCATGTTTTTTTTAAGTATATTTAGAATACTGCCATAGGCAGTTTCCCCTGTGGGTAAACACTGAACTTGATTATTTCAAAGCACTAGGACAAATTTATGAATGAATTGTTATCCGAACTTCCAAATTACCAGTTACCTGGTGCATCAGAAATGTTGAATGCTATGTTTTGCATTTTTAAAATCATAATATTCGGATAGTCATTAAAACAAAATTTTCTCTTTTTTATATAGTAAAAATCTTTATTGTGAGTATATGGCCTTTTCAGACTGAACCTTGATCATAATGAGGGTAGGTTGATATGTCTGGTAGTATATTATGTTTGAAAAAATCCAGGAGATGAAGAAATAATTTTGACTGAAAGAATGCTGTACAGGTTAGGCTATTATATTATCAATAATCTATCAATAACAAAATATGTTAGAATTTTTTCCATTCATTGTAGATGTTTGAAAAGAATTAATAATAAGAACAATGGTTTAGAGCATACTGTTAGCAAAGCAAACCTCAGTACAGTCTTTTTAGAAAGGAAGCTAAGTAATAACCTATGCCTGAGGCTACAGTTTTATGCTTTGCATTTCCTGATATCTTTGAAATATAAAGCATTTACAACAAGCAGATCTGTGATGCATAATTGGTAGGACAGTTCTATTCAGATTTTAGCATTTTACCTTGCCACTGATGACCTGCTATTTTCTGCATTTGTTTTGACTGCTCTCATCATTCAAGATTGACGCTTGGATGGGTGTGTAGGAGGAAGCAGCAGCAGCAAGCTTACAGCATGCAGACAAAAAAAAACTGCCTTAACTGATGGCTATTATTGAAAATGTGAGGTGTAGCCTGGGCTGGGTAATGAAGGGGAGCGAGTAGGGGGAGCAAGGAGCATGGAGCTGCATACTGATGAGTGTAGGAGTACTTGATAAAAGATTTCTAGCTGCTAGCAGTGCATTGCTCATTGTGGAGTATTTCAACAATCACATATAACGGAAAACAGCTTTGCTGACAGCTTGATATGCCTCCCCCCTCCCCATCACATGACGTGCTGGTCTATAGTACAGATTAGTACCTACGAGATGTTGGGCTAGGAACAGATCTCACTCTAAAGCCTGCCCCAGAAACTATGTGCTACTTCTGACTTTCTTACTTGCTGGAAGCATTAATTTGACAAGCTGGCAGGCTCCTTTGATACCAGCTTTTCCCGGAACACAATGTGGCAATGCCACCTCTCAGCCCAGGACCATCGTTATTATCCTGTGGATGGATATTCACTGCTTAAACACCTTCCTTCTCAAACTCTTTCAGCACCCAGATGCCCTGTACAGACTGTGGGACAATGGTTGGAAAATATTGGGCTACCTCAGTATGAGAACCACTTGCTGGCTAATGGGTTTGACAATATACAGTTCATGGTAAGTGATTTTCTATGTATAATAGTGTGTACTGATACTTGATCATTGGCCTCATGAGATCTAATACTGCATGGCAGGGAATTTATTTTGTGTTCTGAAATGTGCTTTAGGATAAACATTTTACATAATCCTGTATGTTATCAGTGTGAGCAAAAGGATTTGGGAGCCACAATTCTGCTTGCTTTCAACGCATTTTTAAAAGATAGTAAATCCATAATATTCCTTATACCATTTTTAGAGGAAAGCAGTTCTCCTATCTATAACAACAATGAACATTCCTGTAGGGACCAGATCTACCTCTATATTCAGCTGTGATATTCTGATAAAGAACTACTATATTTTGAGTGTGATTTTTAAAATACTGTATTCCAAGAATGTGGATTTTAATGACTGTTCCTTTAAATATAAACCTTTTAAAACCCACCTACATTTAACTGTTAAAGGATTAACAGAGATGAATATACCAATTATCTTTAGTATGTAGTGTACGTATTTTGTGCAGTGCTTTAAACATATGAAACCTTTCTGCAAAAATGAATGAATAAGGAAAGAAGAGAAAGAAGATTAGCTAATAAAACAATTTCTAGCCTTTTTATAAAGATCTTCCAGTGGTTAGATATAATAACACTCACCACACCTGTTGTTCAAAATCTATTCTTGTCACACATTTCTCTGTATTTTCTAGTTGTGAGTTAGATTTTATCAACAATAATGCTATTATTCATTATAATTGGTGCTAATACAATTAGCAGTAGGCAATCTGCTTAAAGTATTAAGAACTATTGCATTATTCTCTTGGTTTTTAAATATTTAAAAAGGGCCTTTTGTCATATTACTAGGTGATTTTTCCTAATCCGAAGAAGTATTTCTCTAGAGCATTTAAAATATATATCTGTGATAGCCTCAGTTCTTAACTTCTAGGCTATATTAATCCAATTTATCCATGCAATAAGATTTAAAGATTGGATTGAACACAAATATCTTAAAATTCACCCAGCTAGAACTGCTCTAATCTTTTGTAGTACTGTCAGGAATAAACTGCTATACTTCTCATTGTCTATTTTCATTGTCATGTATGATAATATAGGAAAGCAAGTTAAACAGGTGAAACAGATAAAAAAACCAAATTAGGAGTAGTTCTTAGGGAGACAAAATCCATGTGGTACAATTACTAACATGAACATGAGCAACTACATGGTTTAGTTTGTGAGTCTATGTAAACATTGCTAATATTCTAGTGATTAATTAGGATCAATACAAAATCATTAATGGACTCTGAGTCAAGTCCTATGTCTTTCAGAGATATACCTATGCAAATGTACCTATTTCTATAAGATGCTTTGTAAGCAATCTCTAGATGCCCAAGTTATTCAAGGTGTATGTGGGTTAAGTTATTGACCTTTGTATTGCAATCAGAGTTTAATATTCAATAGGTATAGTAACCTAATTCTGATTATTTTAAATGTGATTAAATTTGCTTAGATCTGCGTGAAACATTAGGTCCTTATACTCTGTTAGATGATTACATAAAGCTAAGAATAAAATAAAACTAATCAGGATAAAATATATTACATGCTGTACGGTCATGTTATATCACTGTTACATTATGATCTTGGGTATGATAAGAGTAACTAATCCTTCACTTTTGCTCAGCTGCTTTTATTGGTTTAGATGCTTCAGTTGTGTATTATTAATTCTTTGAACTTATATCTGCTAGTGTGCCACATCAAATATAATATAATCAAATATCTTGAATGTAAAAAATAGCGTTTCCATTGAAAGTACTAGAAAGATACTAGAATATTAAGAAGAAACAAATATTCTATTGGAACAAGCCTATATGTTGTTATTTCCTAATAAGAAATCATTGACTATGCTTTTGGACAATCTGTGTAATACAGAGTTCTATACATGCCTACCCAGAAGTAAGCCAGATTGAGTTCAATGGGACTTACTGGTAGGTAAGTGTGTATGGGATTAGCTTTTTTAAAATATATATGCTCATTTCATCAATTGCATATCCAGCCTGTCTCAATATTTATTTGAATACACATTTTAATAATGATATATCAGTGAAGGGAATGTTGACTAGCAGTTTTTCATTTCTTCTTCTGTTTTCCAAAGATACATTCTGTTGCTTATTTGTTTTTCTGTTGCCCAAGCAACATAATCACAATGTATTTAAATTATGTAGTACTGTATTATTTTACTAGACTTCATGCAGAAATGCAGTGATCAAGATAATATATTTTTATGATGCTATTTGTCAGACAAAATGTTGTTTGGTAAAGTTTAATTAGAATCACAGAAAATAAGTCCTTAGTTTTACATTGAGTTGACTGCACAAGGACATTCAGCATTTAATTAACCACATGAATTACAAAATATGTTTACTGCTTCTGTACCTGAAATGGAGAAAAGTAATCTATTAATCTCACTTTGATACCTCATTTTTTCATTTTTCATTCTTTTTGTTATTCAAAATGCAGGATATAAAAATGACTTGCTTTTCCACCCAAACCTGTTACATATTTAGAATATTCATGCTTAGAGTGAATGAAATTTTGGTCTCTCAAAGATTTAAATGCAAAGATAGTGTTACAGACAACTAGTTGTTGGCTCACATGTAAGTTTTAATCACATAATTTGGGTCAAAGCCACTGTTTGAGATGGCTGCATCTTTTAAAAGTAAAAGTTTGATCATGAAAGAGAATGTACTTGTTGAAAGGACACTGATGACATCTAGACGCAACAGTGCAATGATTTGTGTGCCATTTGACTTATTAGTTAATGGAAGAATTGTATCCTGGCAATTAGGGTCCTTCAGTGAATTGCATTTTACAGCTTCTTGTCTGGTGTAAGCATTTAGGAATCCTAATGAACTGAACTGCTTACTCTTTTCATGTAGATGATTCCCAGTATAGCCCTCATGTAGACGGGGAAAATATTGTAAGATACCTGATTGGAACAACACTTGAACTGGATGAAGTGAATGACTGATATTTTTACATATATTTGATTATAACTTTGTTTAAAAATCTGAACATTCCTAAGTTACAACAGAAAAAGGTTCAGGCAGAAACTTAGGATGAGCAAACTCATGCATCTGGAAAGTAATATTAATGGTACTGCTGTGAGCTTAGAAATGTGTTAAGTACAATTTAGCCAGAATATCAGACCTAATTCTAAGAACACAAAGTTCTCAGATAATTCTCTAAAAGCCAGGCAAGGTTCAAACATCAATGTCAGAATACCGACTATATACTGCATTTCAATATTATGTTTCTAGACCTATCAAGGCAGTTTATGAATGACCATATTAAAAAAACATAATTAGATAATAACTTAGTAAAACAGTGAAAGCAATAATAGAACCCAGATCTTGACATATTATGTAGATGCATTCATCAGGGACCTGATATTGGAATATTTACGAAGTTGGTTGCTCCCATATAATATTTGAAATCATCCTAAGTCAGGAAGACAACATAGCAGGGAAACCAAGGGCTTGATTAAGGTAGATCAAAGGATCTGGTATTTAACTGCTCTCAGAAACTGTCTTTGATTGGTACAAACCGCAGGCAATTAAGGTGGATGTTGGGCCTGGTGTAACAGTTATCACCAGCGTGATTCTTTATATCCAAGCATTCTGAAAATCTGTATGATACACACATTATACAGTGTCAGTCCATACTCTCTATCATGAACTCCTTCTAGCCAGCTATCCTTGCTGTGTTCAACAGAAGTCCCAAAATGTTGCATTTAGGCACCATTGTGCCAGCAGGATTTCTACTGGCACCCGCAAAGGGATCCACATTGTGGTGCCCATGGGCACCTGAATTTTTAAAAAAGTTATTTTCCCCTTTTAGTATATGTAATGGATCTATATGAAATACATAGAACTTTCTAGCAGTTATACATAGGTCTCAACAAAAGCAGACAAAACATACATATAAGTATCCATTTCAGTTTTGCATCTATATGGAATGCATTCATATATTCAAAGTGTTTTAAGGTCATCAATCGCTTGTATTATAGGAGGTATATATCCTTGCAGTGTTGTACTATCAATCTTTCCACATTCAAAAAGGCACAAATAATCATTTTGCACTTCCATTTGTTAAATTGGAAGCAGATAAATACTTTTTTTTACAAAAGCATATACATCGTTACCTGCATTGCACTGCCTGCAATTAGATGAATTAGACAACCCATTATTAACATACAGTGCAGTGTTCAAAAGACATGAAACAGAAGTGCTTTCTGAATAAGTTGCAGTCCAAGAACCATAGACTCATTAGGTACATGCCAGAGCAGTGATCCACTGTTTAGGCAGAATCTGAGACTTATTTATGAGAAGCAAGGATCACCACTGATGGTTAAAAAATTCCAAGTTTTCATGGAGGATACCCCCTTTTATGCCCTGTGGAATAAGAATGCTACAATAGACGAGGATTCTCTAAACCAGCTATTGTCATATGGCCTTGGCCCTGCCAAGAAGATCCTTCTTTATTTGAAAAAAATGTTCTTTACAAATACAACATTTTACAATACAAGAGTAACAGAAAAGTAAAATTTCTTCATCAGCATTTTCTGTGGACATATTGTGAGTCTTCCACCTATGCACTTCATTTCCTTTAGCTCCTCAAAATATCAAGGAAGTGATACTGCATAGAGGTTGTTTGGGAGCAGTCATATTTATTGATGGTCTCATGTGTATCCCCCTTCCATATGGAGACTGGGGCCACAACAAGGTCACCACCTGAACCACCAAGAAAATCCCTTGTAAATGTCAGGTAATCTTCAGGATTTATCTGTATTTTGGGTTGTACCATAAAGAATTATCAACCATCATTAAGTACTTTCAGATAACTTAACTCAGTCTTGATCAGGTCATAATCTTTCCATGACCATGGAGTCATCACTGCTTCTAATGCTCACAATTCATTACCCCTTACTCCAGTACAGAAAATCAAATCTAATGTATGCCCTGCCACATG